CCACATCTGGCTTTTGCTGATTGTATTCCCTGTTAATGTGCTCCTCTCTCCTTTGCCCGGCCTGTAAATTGAAACCTGATCTAGAAAACCAATCAGATTCAGGTTTGATTTTTCTGCACAACTACTTCATAAGAGACGTTGTATTTGATTCCTTTTTAATGGCAGCCAACTTGTACTGGTTAGGACGCCTTTGGCTGGAAACCCCAGGTCAAACTGGCTTAAGCAATAAGAAAAGCTGCATCTATCGTAGCCAGAGATATAGGGAACGCCCAGGGGCCCCAGGGAGGTGACAGTTACTGGACAGAACTGTTTCCATGGCTCCAGGTTCCTCCCTTCCAGACTGATGTTTCATCATTGGCCTCACTGTGTAATGCCTACATTACAGGCTTCTTATGTGGATCACAGGGACAGTGTCACGTCTCTTACAGATGAGAGTGAGAGGTGGTAAGTGACTTGCCCAAGGTTCCTCATTAAGCAGCAGGGCCAGTGCTCTCGCTCTCTTCTTTACCTGCTCTTTACTTGTCTTGGCACAGATAACCTTTAATGGAGCCCGGGTAGGGGAGGGAGAAGGAAGGACTGTCTGTTCTTCCCTGTCTGCTGCAGACCTTGAGAGAGCCACAATAAATACTGTTTGTTTGATATAGCACTTGGCTTTTGGTCTCAGCAGGAGGAAGAGCTAGAACAGGTGTGGCAAGACCAGAGAGCCTGCTGCACCACAGTGGAAGGTGCGGTGGGACAAAGCCCCAGGGCCTGGCAGTGGGTTTCAGGGCTGTGGACTGTAAAGAAACACAGGAACTTTCTCAGGATGCAGACATCTCCTTCATGTTTCCAGGTGCCTGCCTGGCTGAATACACCAACATACTAACAATACTTACTCTCCTTAATTAAGGTCCTCCTGTGTGCCTAGCATTGTGCCAGGCACTCTTCATGCACACAGGCATGCTTTCATCCCACAAGCTGGTGCTGGTCTGCACTGGGTGCTCCAGACAGAAACTCAGGACAGTTCCCCTGACCTTGGAAGATGACCTTCTGGAGGGGAAATCTGACAAGAAACAAAACAACAACATAGCGTAGTATATGCTGTGATGGGGTGAGAGTAGGCTGCATGGGAACCCGGAATATGACTCAGCTAATCCTCGACACAGCCCAGTGCTATTATATTCATTTAGTAGATGAGAAAACCGAGGCTCAGAGGAGTGAGTTGCCCTGCTTTCCTAGTCAGTTTGGTTCTAATTTTCTTCTGCAGGGGGTGATAAGGCTAAAAATGGGGGTGAAACGATGAGCTGGGGAGGCCCTCATGAGTCATCTGGTCCAAGCCCCTTATTGAAATAACGGGGAAACTGAGAGCCAGAAGGGGAAGAGAATTGCTCAGGCACCCGGGAAAAGGGGCAGATCTAGAAAGCAGCTAACTCCCAGTCCAGTGTGTTCCTTGACATCAAATGCCTTTCTCTTCTCCACCCATCTGAAGATTTCCTGGGGCCCCCTCATGTAGAACCCTCAACTTGTGCTGAAAATTCCACCAACTCTGTTTAGATCCCAAACTCAAGAAAGAATAAGAGGAGGATGAGTTCGGACAGACCCCGAAGCCAGGCAAGGATGTCTGTGCCTGTTGGGGGGGGGGTGATGTAAAATAGAGTAGGGCACCTCACTACCCCCAAGGAGGCCCCAGTGTAGCCCAGTCTTGGGGAGAGACCAGGGAGCCAGAGGAGAGTCTGAAGCCCTGAGTCCTTCCCACCCCACCCCACCCCACCCAAGGATCCAACCTATGTCCCTTCTCTGCCACATCCTTCTGGCTTGGCTGTGCTGGGGGTGGGCTGGCTGGCTCTGGGCCTGAGGCTGCAGATCTACCACAGGCAGTGTTGTGTCCAGGCTGCTTTCTTGAAGCTAGCGGTATATGAGTAAACTTGCTCCTGCCTGCAAGGTTCTCTGGGACAAAGAAGCCACCTGGTACCCTTCAGTTCTGGCTTGGCCCAACCTAGATCCTTGGCCAGAGACTATGGGGATGAAGTCAGATGCAACCACTTGGTTCTCTACCCACCCCCCAAATCCCATTCCAGAGAGGTCCAGAGAACCTTTCTTCTCTCAGTTCCCTCCCTGTCACCTGTTGCTCAGCCTCTCTCTCTGATCCTTCCCCTCACTGAGGCCCCCCCACTGAGCCCCTCTGCCTTTTCTGAGCCTACATCTCCTCTCCAGCTCTCCCTAGAACCCCTCTCCATAATTTGTCTCCTTCATCTTCATAGCCAGTCACTCTCCCTATTTCCTTCCCCTCAGGTTAGAAGAGCGGTTCCCAAGGGGGAACTGGTTGGAGAGAGCAATGACAACCCCAAGTCCTTCCCTGAATCTCACAGAGGATGACTTGAAGCTAGGGTACTCTTGCTATTGATAGTAACCTACTTCCTCTTCCTTGGATCATACAGAGTGACAACAGGTCAGTGTTCCTTAACCAGAGGAGAATTTGGGGGGAGCTAAGTGGAGTCTTCTACTGAAAAATCGGACTGCCACCGGAACTTTTTGCTTTAGCTTTGCTTCAGGCAAAGAAGTTCGAGATACAATAACTTTGAAACAATTTCAAGACTCCCCAACCTTAAATACCTGTCCCGTGCCCCTCACTCCCCCTCAAGTTGCTAACTTGGCCCCGATTCCCGTTATAAGCAAACCTCTTGCATGCAAGGTCTACATGTTCTGCTTTTGCTTCTCTTCTCCCACTCACTTTTCTGTCCTCTGCATCTGCCCCCACGCCTCTTGCTAAGGCCACCAGTGATCACCTCACTGCTTTTGATCTCACAGCTCCTCCTCAGGTCTCATGTTGCCTGACCACTTCTGCAGCCTTGGACACTGTGGCCAATGCCCGCCTTCTTGAAACTCTTCCTCCCTTTGGTTTTTAGACTGACCTCATCCACTCCCTGGTTTCGGTTCCCTTCTGTAAGCTAACAATAGCCAAGTTTACCACTCCTGAGTTCCAGAGCTCTCTATGTGCCCAGCCACTTCCTGGACACCTCTGCCCGGAGGTCCTACAGACTCGCCAAACTGTATACTCAAACCTGAACCCATCATCTCCCCCTAGTAATCTGGTCTCCTATTTTGGCAAATGGCACCACCATCCAATTAATGACCTAGGGGGGGAAATTGGGGCTCTCCTAGTTCTGCCCTCTTCCCCACCCTGCATACCCAGATGGTTCCAAGCCCTGCTCATCTTGCTTCCTTAACAGCCCCATCAGGCCCTGCTTCCAGCCCTGCTGTCCCTGCTTTATTTCTGACCTGCATCACTTCATACTGGGATGGCTACATAGTCTCTTAGATGGTCTCTCACCTTCATTGGCCTCCCTGAATCCCAGCTCTGCAGGGCCTGCTGGAGAGGTTATTTTAGAACATATCTCTGACAAGGTGAGTCCCTTCCACGATTCCCGTAACACCAGAGTAAGATCCAAAGTCTGTCCTTCCACCCAGGAGACACTCCATGCCTTCATCTTCTCTGAGCCCCTGGGCCTCATCGCCACTTCCTTTCTCACCTTGCTATCTATCCAGCCATGTGGAATTTCTTTTTCCTGGCTCTGGGCACAGGCTCCCTTTCCCAATGCCTGAACCTCCTGCACCTTCTCCAAGATGCCAGTGCTTCTGAGTCCTCCTTGGGGTATCCCAGAAAGAAAAGAGGCCCCCTCTCTCACCTCTCCCCCCAGGTGAGAAGATTCTGCCCAGTATTACTTTTGGTTAAAAACAAAACAAAACACAATAGGTCTTTGTGTTCTCCTTTTCCAAATATGAAATCATAGCATTGAATGTGGTCTTTCATGCAGCGCAGGGGAGATTACGGTGTGCAACCACGCTGTGGAAAACTGATGCCTCAAGCACAAACCCAAATGTCACAGCCTGGAGAAGAGGGTCCCTGACACCCTCCCCCCTCCCCTCCCCCACGACTCTCTGCCACAGCCTGCTGGAAGTGCCCACACCTGCCTCTCTATGGTTGTACCTTTATTGTCTGAATCCCAGTGAGTAGGCCAAATGACCGCCAGCCCCCAGTGCCGTTTACAACCTCACTTTCTCGGTTACTGAACCTTTCTTCCTCTCTAGGCTTCATCCCTAGCAGCATCCAGCCAAGGCCAACCCTTTCAGGTAGCCGGAGACCTGTCTGCGGCACTCAGGACAAGCAGGCGCGCAGGCAACTGCAAAACGAAAGGCTTTTATTGAAGAATATCAAGTGGCCCCTTTCAGGGCTGCCAATGCCTGCCCAACACGGGCTTTGGGGCCTGGGCCCGAGGGGGTGGGCGAGGGGGCGGGAAAGTAGCCCTGGCCGCCCCACTCGGCGCTCCAGAGGGGGAGGTTTCATTGTCTTTGCGGGCTGCTCCCCAGGCTTGGGTCCCGCTGCCTGTCGCCGGAGGGGTGGC